AAACTATCAGTATTTATAGAGCAAAGTGTCTTCTGAAAACTGTGAAAACTTGAAATTGCTACCTGCAATAGTTTGAAAATAGCGATTTTTTTAACGAGAGAGCGCAGTTTCGTAAAAGGTCCATTGTGAGACCGGCATTTTCATAGCACGCAAAAATTTGTATTGAGCCCAATTTTCATGAAACTCTCAGCGTTTGTAGAGCCGAGTGTTTTCTAACATTTGTCGAAAACAAAAGTTCCCACTTGCTTTAGTTTGAAAGTTGCAATTTTTTTAAAGGGAGATTGCAGTTTCGTAAGAACGATCATTTTGAGACCGCGATTTACACCACGAAAAAATTCTCAAGTCTGGGCGATTTTAGTGAAACTATCAGCATTTATAGAGCAAAGTGTCTTCTGAAAACTGTGAAAACTTCAAATTGCTACCTCCAATAGTTTGAAAATAGCAATCTTTTAACGAGAGAGCGCAGTTTCGTAAAAGATCCATTTTGAGACCGGCATTTACATAGCAAGCAAAACTTTGTATTGCGCCCAATTTTTATGAAACTCTCGGTATTTGTAGAGCAGAGTGTTTTCTAACAATTGTCAAAAACAAAAATTCCCACTTGCTTTCGTTTGAAAGTTGCGAATTTTTCCAACAGAGAGAACAAGAACAAAACTTGATTCATTCAAAAAATTTTAATCGTAAGGAGGAATTTTACTCCAAATTGTGAGATTCATATTAAGAGCAAAAAATTGTCGGTACTAAATCGTCATTTTAGGCTCACACCGACTTTAAGCCAAAGCTTAACGCAAGTAAGCCGTGCTTTAATGAAAGCAATTAGCAATCAAACCGAAAAAGTGTTTCTTTGTTAACTTAATTTTGTTATTATTATTTAAAATTATTTGTACTTTTCTCAGTGATTCATAGGAAGCTTCTAAAGCGCGCAAATTTCCAGCCTAAACATGATTTGTTGAAATTGTCTTGATAGCATGATTGAGACAAACAAAAACCGACATCAGTTTAAAAATAAATTATGATGATGATCGCTTTGCAAATATTGCAAAATCTCAATCAACAATCAAAACTGACATGTTTTTGTTAGTTAGATACGCCGAACAGGATTATCGGCGAAAAATCCCTGTGATATTAAAGGTCAGGAATCGCCCTCAGGCATTGTTTTCCCAACTTCCAGCTTCTCAAGCCATTTGCAGTTAAATCTCTGGGCATTTTTTGTGCCAAAAATCCGTTCACGCACAAAAATCTATCGTAGCATGACGTAGCAAATCGATTAGACTCATCAATATAAGTTAATAATAATTGTGTTCGATTTTACATAATGTGTGATCGAAACTTAATTGGCATACAATCATTCACATCAAGATACGATTAAACTCGAGCACCTGGGCATAGTTGACATGTCAAGCATAAAGTCGGTATTAGATAAGCGTGTTATCTTCGATGAGGCGCTGATCCACTAATAAATGTGACTCAAAATCTTCTAGAAGACTTTTTAACAGGGCAACAGACCCCAATCTTCAATCGCTTTCTGACCATCTTCAAACGGTCACTATCTGCCTGAAGTGACTCTTCTCGCCTTCCTGAAGCCATAGATTGGTCTTAAAGATTCTCGCTCTGTTGCTCACTTCTTCAGTTTAATCTTGCGGATATTATAATGGAAGATTTTACTTAGCGGAGATTCCAAAGCGATTCCAAAGGGAGTGGCTGAATTTGGGCACTCAATTTTCTTCTTTTGATATTGGCCCTTCTTCCATATCTTCCGCAATTTCCGCCACTGTGACGCATAAAGCTTCCTTTGAAGTTTCTTCAATATTTTAAGTTTTACCAGGAAGACTGGTGCACGTTCAAAACCTGCGTAGGTGCTTGGACTATTGTCTATTTTGCGCCTCTGCCCTCTAAAGTGTCTCACTTCCAACAGCAAGAGCGCAGCTACTTGAAATTCTCACATGTCATAGAAGAAACTGAAGTGTAGAAACTCTATGAATTTCATTGGAAACAAGAGCCATGTGGATTTTTGACAATTTTTCAAAATCTGCCCCAAACACTAGACTGTTTTTCGTTTGGCGCGTCTGCATTCTAAAATCGACTACTTTTAACTGTGGCCAGGCAGCCAGTTGAAGTTTGCACAAGTTATAGAAGAAACTCTAATCTAGAAATGTGATAAGTTTCATTCTCAAGCTGTGCCAGCTCGATTTTTTACAATTTTTCAAAATCTGCCTAAAACTAGAGTGTTTTTCATTTAGCGCGCCTCTATTTCGAAACGGCTTACTTTTAAATGTGACGCAGTAGCAACTTGAAATTCTCACCCGTTATACAAGAAGGTTAAATCTCTGAATCTGAAGAGTTTTGTTCTAAACCCGAGCCAACTGCGTTTTTGAAAATTTTTCAAAATCTGCCTTAGAAACTTGACTGTGTTGCATCTGCCGCGCTGCCTTTTCAAATGGCTCACTTTTAAGGACGATCAAGTAGCGACTTGAAATTCTCGTGTCTTATAGAGGAAGCCTGAATCTATCAACCCGGAAAGTTTCATTCTAAACAAGCTCGAGCTCGATTTTTGTCATTGTTTGAAAATCTTCCCCAAAACTGGACTGTTATTCATTTGACGCGTCTGCATTCTAAAATTGACTACTTTTAACTGTGACCAGGTAGCTACTTGAAGTTTACACACGTTATAGAAGAAACTCTAATCTAGAAAACCGATAAGTTTCATTGTCAAGCTGTGCCAGCTCGATTTTCTACAATTTTTCAAAATCTGCCTAAAACTAGAGTGTTTTTCATTATGCGCGCCTCTATTTCGAAACGGCTTAGTTTTAAATGTGACGCAGTAGCAACTTGAAATTCTCAACCGTTATACAAGAAGGTTAAATCTATAAATCTGAAAAGTTTTGTTCTAAACCCGAGCCAACTACATTTTTGATAATTTTTCAAAATCTGCCCCTAAACCCGAGCCTAGAAAATGGACTGTTCTTCATCCGTCGCGTCTGCATTCTCAAATGGCTCACTTTTAAAGACGATCAAGTAGCGACTTGAAATTCTCGTGTCTTATAGAGGAAACCTGAATCTATCAACCCGGAAAGTTTCATTCTAAACAAGCTCGAGCTCGATTTTTGTCATTGTTTGAAAATCTGCGCCGAAACTAGGCTGTTTTTCACTTGGCGTGTCTGCATTCTAAAATCGATTACTTTTAAGTGCGACCAGGTAGCTACTTGAAGTTTACACACGTTATAGAAGAAACTCTAATCTAGAAATCCTATAAGTTTCATTCTCAAGCTGTGCCAGCTCGATTTTTTACAATTTTTCAAAATCTGCCTAAAAACTAGAGTGTTTTTAATTTATCGCGCCTCTATCCCCAAACGGCTTACTTTTAAGTGTGAACCAGTAGCGACTTGAAATTCTCACCGGTTATACAAGAAAGTTAAATCTATCAATCTGAAAAGTTTTGTTCTAAACCCGAGCCAACTGCATTTTTGATAATTTTTCAAAATCTGCCCTAAAAACTTCACTGTTTTGCATCCGTCGCCTCTGCATTCTCAAATGGCTCACTTTTAAAGACGATCAAGTAGCGACTTGAAATTTTCGCGTCTTATAGAGGAAACCTGAATCTATCAACGCGGAAAGTTTCATTCTAAACAAGCTCGAGCTAGATTTTTGTCATTGTTTGAAAATCTGCGCCGAAACTAGACTGTTTTTCATTTGGCGTGTCTGCATTCTAAAATCGATTACTTTTAACTGTGACCAGGTAGCTACTTGAAGTTTGCACAAGTTGTAGAAGAAACTCTAATCTAAAAATTCGATAAGTTTCATTCTCAAGCTGTACCAGCTCGGTTTTTTACAATTTTTCAAAATCTGCCTAAAACTAGAGTGTTTTTCATTGAGCGCGCCTCTATTTCGAAACGGCTTACTTTTAAATGTGACGCAGTAGCGACTTGAAATTCTCACCCGTGATACAAGAAGGTTAAATCTATGAATCTGAAAAGTTTCGTTCTAAACCCGAGCCAACTGCGTTTTTCATAATTTTTCAAAATCTGCCCTAGAAATTTGACTGTTTTGCATCCGTCGCGTCTGCATTCTCAAATGGCTCACTCTTAAAGACGATCAAGTAGCGACTTGAAATTCTCGTGTCTTATAGAGGAAACTTGAATCTATCAATCCGGAAAGTTTCATCCTAAACAAGCGAAAGCTCGATTTTTGACACAGTTTCCAAAAGTGCCCAGAAACTAGACAGTTTCCTTTCGGCACGTCTGGTTTCTTTGATGGTTCACTTCCAAACGTAATCAAGTACCAACTTCAAGTTTTCACCAGTGATAGAAAACACTTCACTTTACAAATCCCAAAAGTTCCGCTGTAAACTAACGCTTCCCTCATTTCTGGCAAATTTTTAAATCCCGCTCCTGAAACATGACTGAAAATGTTTCCCATTCGGTCCTCTCGCCTCATTTCCAAACATCAGCAAGCAGCGACTTAAAATTTTCACACCTTCAAGGCTCCCAAACGTTCGTTTTGTGCCAGCAAGCTCAAAACTCACTTTAGGGCTGAAGAAAAGAAAACACCCACATACAAGAAAAATAATTTAATCAAATCTAGCAAGTTGACAAAATCCCTGAGTACGATGCATGTGGGTTGCTGCCTCACGGCTCAATGGTGGTGAGGGTCCCAGCAGGGTTCCCACCAGTACAACCAGCAGGGAATATAGGGACGAGCTGCAAGAAAAATCATTCCAGCTAATTCCAGAAAATCCTGCTTGCTCACTTACCAGATGTGGGATCTACTGGCGGTATGACTGAAGAAGATTCAGTAGACGGCCGTGTTGTAGTCGTACTAGTAGTAGTGGACGGAGTATTTGGAGCTAAAGTTGTAGTTGTTGTAGGAGTGTCTGGAGCTACAGGAGTAGTTGTTGAAGGAGGAGTATCTGGAGGTGGGCTAGAAGGTGCTGTAGAAGGA